GGGGGGGGGAAAACTTACATTTTTTGACCCCCTAGGGGGGTACCCTAAAATGTAACTTACTTTTTTGAGGTCCCCCCTCCCGGAAGTAGCTCAAGGGGGTAGGGATATTAGAACACTGTGTTCAATCTTTGCAGCGGTTCTTCATCGGCAAATGTGCGTCTTGAGTCCTGAGTTTTGATTTTGCACTTTGATCTTTGGACCTAAACTTTGAACCTTGGGGTTGTCAACTTCGACCATATTACATATCTTTTCCTGGAACTCTTAGGCTTTCATACCTAGGTGGGCGCGTGGCATGTGGCATTCAATTTCCGTATGCGTTATCTCGAGTGTGTGTCTGCCAGCCATGGTACGGCCCGGCCGTCAAGTTGAAGTGATCGAGCGGTTCCGATGGAGAGGCTTTTGGAGTTGTATGTAGCAAGCAGGTAAGCAGCAAGCAACGTCTTTAGAGGTTCTGCCCACGACATGCCTGAGTGACCAACCCAGCAACGAATGTGCTGCCAACCGACTTGCACTGAAGCATGTCGGACAACACGAAGGCACACTACATTGCACACTATAGCACGCCGAGAAAGGACTTGAGCTCAATCAAAAGATCTCAAACATGTATCGGTTGAAATGGCTACCCCGGCTTTCGCCTGTGGCGATGAACGGTTCTATTGGCTTGTAGCGCAGTCCTCCGTCGAATAGTTCCTCACTGCCTTGGACCCCGCGTGGCCGGACACAGCGTGGGCGTGGACACGGACCAGTGACCTAGTGCCTTTCTCACGTGCTTCAGCTGCTCAGTCTCCGGCTCTTGTGGCATCTTTCACGTAAAGTCCTCGGATCTCCTGCGGGAGGACATGGGAGGACAAGCTGCGGCAACGGAATGAACATGAATGAACTGTGTGAAGATGAAGCGTTCAAAACCTTCCCAGCTGGTTGGCTGTTCGGCATCGCTTGTAATGTAACCAATGGAGACCTTGAGTGACTACGTAATTGCTTGAAATGCTTAAGCTGACTGTCTTGTTGATTCTAGCTCCCAAGAATTATACACACAAGCTTTGTGTGGCTTGGCACAGCCGCCGCTGCTTCATGGAAGGTTCTGCATAACTTTTCGATACGTCCCCCCTCCTTGCGCATTTAAACACTATGACTTCCAATGAGAAAGTCACATACACGAACCAAGAATACATTGGCTGGGAGTTAAACACGCAAAACCAGTCTAACCCCCGTTCCTAACTCTTTCCCGCTTCCATGTTGTGTGATTTCTTCACACCAATGCATTGTCAGGGTACCGCGGCGCATGATGGCGCATGGCCGTCCTGATCTTTGGCATCAGCGTGGACCACTTCTTTGAAGTCACGTCCAAGAAAGCGAATCTCGGCCTCTTCTCAAGACGAGTGGCGAATGAGAAGGTGTGCCCAAAAGCTTTGGGAAAATGTGATCATAGCAAAGAACATGAATCCTCATCAGGCTTGCCTTCACGGAATCGAGTTCGACCCCAACCCCGATGAACCCGCAGTTCATTCCTGTAGGCTGTAGGGACTTCACAGTACTTAACTTTCTGCGGACGCCATAAAAGGAAACACACAGACTTGAATCGTTCTGTCTTGGCTGTCCGCATCCATCATCCAGAACCACCTGTTCAAAAAAACAACCACTCTGGAGCAAACGTAGCGGGTGGGATCAGTAGAAGGCTAACTTACGGGACAAAGCTCAACCAGTGCTGGACCTCTCCACGTCTCACAAGAACGGGAGAAAACACATAACACTTAACACATTTTCCTCCATGTTGTCAACTTCGAGCATGAACCTTCCTCAGAATGGGAATTAGGACAGAAACTGCAGGGGCTCCACCTATTAACTATTATGTACTGAATTATTGATCCTGCATGTAATGTAATGATCTGTCAAGGCCGGAACGTTTTCTGGTACTATCTTGATCCATCCCGCCCCATCTTGCGCTCTGCATCTTAAACGCACCAAAAGCCCAAAGCCCGAATCATTGGCCTCTGGCGAAGCCCTGAGGGTGATGCACTCAACCCACACCTCAATGACCAAATTGGTGACATTCAAACATTCACCAGGTGCCACTTGCACCATGTAGCAACGATCATGTGAGTAAAATCCTGCCAACAACAACATGTGGCATCTCGCTGTCGCATTCTTCAACCGAGTGGGCTGCATAATCCTTGAGCTTTTTGGGCGGCCATGTCTGTTGCAGCTCCCAACCTGGACAAAATCAAGCAGCGTAACATGGTTCTCGCATTGCCACAAATTAGTGGGGGGGACCCTAATTGTAAGTTACAAGTTCCTTGATTTTGAGGGTCAAAACTGTAATGTTACATGTTTTAAAGGCGCCAAGCATGTAATGTTTCATTTTCGACCCCCCAGCTTACATTTGTCCAATTGAACATTCACAGGAACTATTCACCTGTAGACCCCCTCACCCTACCACGTTCTGGCAATTTTAGCTAAGTTATATACATCTTCTGGTGTTTGAGCCCATGTACTGAATATGCAACATTAATTTTGAAGGCTCTTTCCCTTTAGACAATTCCTTGCATGTCCTTTCATGTTGCATGAATTTCATTTATGTTCCTTTCATGTTGCATGTATTCCTTTCATTTTCCTTTCATGGTGTATCCATTTCCTTTCATGTTCCTGTCATTTTGCATTTCATGTTTCTTTCATTTTGCATTCATGTCCTTTCATTGTCCTTTCATTGTGCATTTATGTCCAGTCTGTCTCCTTTCGTTTCGCCCTCATGTCCAATTGTTGATCTTTTATTTTGCTGTCAGTTCCTTTCATTGCCTGTCATGTTCCTTTCAGATTGCATTCATTTTCTCTCATGTAAAAATGTAACATTAAATACTGAAGGCGTTTTCCCTTTAGACACTTCCTGTCATTTTGCATTAATTTCCTTTCATGTTCCTCTCATCTTTCATTCATTCCTTTCATGTTCCGTTCATGGTGTATTCATGTCCTTTCATAGTCCTTTCATTTTGCATTCATGTCCTTTACTTTTCCTTTCATTTCGCACATCATTAGCGAGGGGGGAGGAGGTCAATTGTAACTTACACGCTTCTTAATTTTAAGGTTCAACATTGTTTTGTTACAATTGTTTAAAGGCTTCATAAATGTAAAGTTACATTTTCGGCCCCCCAGCTTACATTTGGTTATTGAAAATCTACAGGGGAATGATAGAAGTGTAGAGGTCCCCACGCCAGGTTCTGGCAAATTTAGCTAAGTTACATTTTCTGGGTGTGTTAACTCATTTACTGAAAATGTAACATTCAATGCTGAAGCTCTTTCCCTTTAGACACGTCCTTTCATTACCTATTTGTTTCCTTTGGTTTCCCTTCATGCTGCACGCGTTTCCTTTCATAGTCCTTTCATGTTGCATTCATTTCCGTTGCTATCCCTTTCATGTTGCATTCATGTCCTTTGATTTCCTTTCATGTTGCGGTCATTTCCTTTCATTGTCCTTTCATGCTGCATTTCTTTGCTGTCGTTGTCCTTTCATGTTGCGCGCATTTTTCTGAAAATGTAACACTGCATGCTGAAGGCTCTTTCCATGTAGACATGTCCGTTTATTTTGCATTCAGTTTCGTTCATGATGTTCCTTCCATGTTGTATCCATTTCCTTTCATTTCCCTTTTGTTTGCATTCATGTTCCGTTCATGTCTCTTTCATTTTGCGTTCATTTCCTTTCGCGTTCACATCGCCTTTCGAAGGAAATTAAACGGATGCAATGGAATGCAAAACGCACGGGAAATGAGAAGAAATGAATGCAAAACACAAGGAAGATGAAAGGAAATGCATGCAACATCCCTACCACCGCCTTAACATGGTTCCGGGAGAGGGGACCTCAAAAAAGGTAAGTTTCATTTTTCGGGGGGGGGGGGGCCTAGGTGGTCTAGAAATGTAACTATACCCCCTGGTACCATCATGAGGGGCAAGGGGGGAGGGGGAGGTGCCCTCAAAAATGTACCTTGTGACCTTCCAGGTATTTCCAGGCGCGTGCTTACATGTTACAACCCCCTCCCCCTAGGGTAGGGGGAGGGTCTGGAAAATGCAACTTGAAACCTGGCAGGCCTGAACTTACATTTGTTTACCCCACCAAAATGATGCCTAGATTTGGTCAACCACCAACGAAGCCAAGCGAAAACCCTGACGCACAAACGTGCACAAACACACGCTTAGATCCATGCTCGCAAGAGCTGTATCCGTTATGACTCTCCCGTGGGGCTAGCACTTTAGGTGAATACCTAGCACTTGACTTGAGGCAACGGCAAGGTTTTGCTGGGTGAGAGAACGGAATTGTTTGAACATCACGCGTTAGCACTTTAAGGAAAAGGATGGTAACAGCTTGATAACGCCACAACAATGCAGGTGCACCAGGTTGATCAGACCTGGCTTCCACTATCACGCATAGCTGCGTTGGCATGTGTTTGCGTGATAGCCGCATGCCCCCCCGCAATGTCTGTACAATTAAACTATGGTTAATGGTGTCAGAGGTCCTTAGAAACAGGACTTGACACACACAAAAAGCTGATATCGGCGCACATTCACGCAAGCACTTGACTAAAGAACCTGATTACCGACCTAAAAAGCCTCTACCCCCCCCGGGGATATGCCCTGCAAATACGTGGGAGGGTCAAGTTACATCTATTTTTGGGTGGGGAGGGTGCTAAACATGTAACTTACATTTCACCTTCCCCACCGTTTGTACAGCCTTTTGGTCGGTGAGGCCGTGCGAGTTCTTCAAGACCATTGTAGTGGCTCCAGGCCTCACGAGGCCAGGTCCGAACCATGTCAGATCTCAATTTATGCTGTGTGTCCGAACCAAGTCTATGAACCAAATCATTGGTGCGAGCGCCAGGATATGGCTATCCTGCGTCCATATGTAGTAGCTGCCTGTACCTAATAGCTAGAGGTCGGCGCAAAAGGCAAACGCTCCCAACACTTACACCTTGTGACGGTATTATATTGCTGGACAGTCCGGCCTCATCTTTGGCAATTTCTTCACACCCTCAAGGAAAGACGAGCAGTCACACTTTCTGCCAAAGAACACCCTCAGTCACTTTCTGCCAAACTGCGGTTGTTTGGTGCAACCGTTCGCCGGCAAAGTCTTCACTCTTCGTGCCTGAGCCGCTCTTGTTCTCACTTCCGCCTGGCCCACGTGCGTGACAGTTGGTCTGAGCGGTCAGTGTTTTGAATGGGCAATACACTCCCCTAACACCTGCGGTAGAAGGACATTTGAAGCTAGGTTGAGGGACCATACTTGAGGCCAGGCTTGGTGACAAAAGCTAGCTGCATCTAATCATGGCCTTAAAACGGATAGGGGATGCGCAGCATGATGTGAAACATAAGGGGGTGCCAAAACGGATGCTATCAGAACATATCAGAACTATGTTGCTCCCAAATCTGACACGTCCAAGAGAGGAGCTGAACCTGCGGAGGGGGGGGTCTAGCAATGGATAATTCGCTGGGTAGGCGATTCCATCCCCCCAGCCAATAACTTGCTAAAGTATGCTAAAGCAAGAGTAACTTCAGCTAGCTAGCTAGCTCAAGCTAGCTTTCGTGAGAAAGGGTGACGGACCTTTTGGCCTTTGGGTTCGGCCTGGAATTGAAACGCTTCTTTTCTCCTGGTTTCCAATCAAGCGTGGATGATGGCTCACGGCCATGGGCACAGTACAGGAGATGCCGGATTCCAAAAACAGGAGATGTCGGAGCACGACTGCACTCAACTCCGGGCTTTTGCTAGGTTCCTGGCCCTGCGGCTCAGTCCGCGCCACACTTACAGCATGAGACTGATCTCAGGAAAGATGACTTCCAGCTCGGCTGATAGAAAAACATCGTTGGAGATTATATAATAGAGTCGCAATGGAGTAGGTCCAGAGCCCGCAAGGAGAACTGAAGTGGATCTTGAGTGAGCGTCAGTTTGCCGAGAGGTTGACCAAATCCACTACCAAAGGCGTTCTTGCTGATCGTCTTCGGTATGGAAAGGTGAAGTTCGTCAGCAAGCGTGGGGCAGACCCAAGAATCCGCCCACAACTGACAACTCCACTACACAACCTTCAACCGACGATACAACTCGACACCACATGGAAGAGAGCGAGTTGGAGCCAGAGGCCCAAGCCACCGCTTTGTGCACCAACCATGTCCAAAGGATCGTGGCCCGTGTGCGCTGTGGAGCCTGGGTGGTGGTGCCGCTGCAGGGTGCTGCTCCAAGGTCTATGGCTGTGCGTGCTTTGGAGCTTGGGTGTTGGTTCCGCTGCGGAATGCCGTTGACAAATGTGCATGCGGTGTACGCTTTCCTTTGGAGCTTGGATGCTGGTGCCGCTACGGGGTGTTGCTGCCACGTCTATGGCAGCGCGTGCCGGCCAAACGTCTCTGCTCTGGTGTCATTGCAGGGTGTCGCTGCGGAGTGCTTTAGAGCTTGGGTGTTGGTGCCGCTGTAAGATGCCGGGTGTCGCCAAATGCCATGGCAGTGTGCGAGATCTGGGGTCTATGCTGGCGTAATATGGCGTAATTACATTGAACATACTTGTATACTAACACTACGTCTACGACCATGTCTACCACCGCTCAACCTCCGCCGCACCGCCGCCGCCGCTGCCGCCGCCACCACCACCACCACTTCGGAGGCGGAGGACCAGTAGTCTGCACACATAAATTAGTGTAAGGAAGTGAGTACGCAATAGGTAAGTAATTACTTTGTTGTCGCCGTCGTCGCCGTGGTAATGGTGGCGGCGTAGACCCTTTTAGGTGGCCTTTGCTCCGAGCTACTACAGTGATACGCAATGGCATGCAATGGCAATGGTAACTAGACTATCTGCACAGGGTCCGATTGTTCAATCCCTTGCTTTGTGTATGTGCATAGCAGAGATGCCCATGTTTTCTAAGATTTGCAAGGAATGCAGCCAAACCAGCAATGAATGACGACAATCACCAAGTTTTTTGCGGAACAAGAACGCGCCGATTGTCAATAATTGTTGCAGGTTCCATCAGGATGACTCTTATTAAACCCGAGCTCCTCCTACACCATCTTCCCATCAACGGCAAAGTATTGCGACGTACTCCAAATCGCCTCTCCAACCGTCATCGCCTTCCTGCCAAGAGTCCTTGCCGCCTCCAAAACAGGGAGCAGGCTTCTATGATTTCAATCTCTCTTTCCTATCTTTTTTTCGTCCCGTCTACCTCAAGCCTCCTGGTAGTCTACGGATTTCCACACCTTTGTTCTAAACAGATTTTAGCAAAAACCAAGCATTCAACTTTCGCGTTTTTCCCGAGAGCGTCTGCGAAGGGTTCTTGGTAAAAAAACATCTGCAAAACTACGTATCATCTACATCTTCACATCTTCACCTCTGCACATCCACATTCTCACCTATATCTCTGCTCATCTTCACATCTGCACATCTACATCTCTGCTCATCTTCATCATCTTCACACATCTACATCTCTGCTCATCTTCATCATCTTCACACATCTACATCTCTGCTCATGTTCACTTCTGCACATCTACACCTCTGCTCATCTTCACATCCTCACATCTACATCTCACATCTTTACCTCTCATCTACATCTCACATCTTCACCTCTCGCTCTTCTTAACTTTCTCTCTTAAGGCCGGGGGCAGCGCCGCCGGACCGCCACGAAACGCAACCCTCTGCGGAGATCGTGCGTGTCGGACGCGCGAAATGCAGGCGAGAGTGCGATTTGTCCCGGTCGCGGGCAACCCTCTGCGGAGATCGTGCGCGTCGACTGCGCGAAATGCAGGCGAGACTGCGATTTGTCCCGGTCGCGGGCAACCCTCTGCGGAGATCGTGCGTGTCGAGTGAAAGAAATGCAGGCGAGAGTGCGATTTGTCTCTGTCCGTCGCAACCCTCTGCGGAGATCGCGCGCGTCGAGTGCGCGAAATGCAGGCGAGACTGCGATTTGGTTTTGTCCGGCGCAACCCTCTGCGGAGATCGTGCGTGTCGAGTGCACGAAACGCAGGCGAGAGTGCGATTTGTCCCGGTCGCGGGCAACCCTCTGCGGAGATCGTGCGTGTCGAGTGCGCGAAACGCAGGCGAGAGTGCGATTTGTCCCGGTCCGGGACAACCCTCTGCGGAGATCGTGCGTGTCGAGTGCGCGAAATGCAGGCGAGACTGCGATTTGGTTTTGTCCCACGCAACCCTCTGCGGAGATCGTGCGTGTCGAGGGCGCGAAATGCAGGCGAGAGTGCGATTTGCCCCCGTCGCGGGCAACCCTCTGCGGGGATCGCGCGTGTCGAGTGCGCGAACTGCAGGCGAGAGTGCGATTTATCCCGGTCGAGCTGGAAGATGAGAACTGGCGACTTTCTAGTGCAACTTTAGTACGCGGAGCAGTCTGTGGAGCTGGAAGCTGAGAACTGGCGACTTGTAGTACAACTTTAGTACGCGGAGTATCTGTGGAGCTGGAAGATGAGAACTGGTGCAGTTGTACAACTTTAGTACGCGGAGTATCTGGGGAGCTGGAAGATGAGAACTGGCGACTTTGTAGTACAACTTTAGTACGCGGAGCAATCTGTGGAGCTGGAAGCTGAGAACTGGCGACTTTGTAGTACAACTTTAGTGCGCGGAGTATCTGGGGAGCTGGAAGATGAGAACTGGCGACTTTGTAGTACAACTTGAGTACGCGGAGTATCTGAGGAGCTGGAAGATGAGAACTGGCGACTTTCTAGTACAACTTTAGTACGCGGAGCAATCTGTGGAGCTGGAAGATGAGAACTGGGGACTTCGTAGTACAACTTTAGTACGCGGAGTATCTGGGGAGCTGGAAGATGAGAACTGGCGAAGTTGTAGTACAACTTTAGTACGCGGAGTATCTGGGAAGCTGGAAGATGAGAACTGGCGACTTTCTAGTACAACTTTAGTACGCGGAGCAATCTGTGGAGCTGGAAGACCTGGCGACTTTCTAGTACAACTTTAGTACGCGGAGCAAGCTGTGGAGCTGGAAGATGAGAACTGGCGACTTTGTAGTACAACTCGAGTACGCGGAGTATCTGGGGAGCTGGAAGATGAGAACTGGCGACTTTCTAGAACAACTTTAGTACGCGGAGCAATCTGTGGAGCTGGAAGCTGAGAACTGGCAACTTTGTAGTACAACTTGAGTACGCGGAGTATCTGGGGAGCTGGCAGATGAGAACTGGCGACTTTCTAGTACAACTTTAGTACGCGGAGCAATCTGTGGAGCTGGAAGATGAGAACTGGCGACTTTGTAGTACAACTTTAGTACGCGGAGTATCTGGGGAGCTGGAAGATGAGAACTGGCGAAGTTGTAGTACAACTTTAGTACGCGGAGCATCTGTGGAGCTGGAAGATGAGAACTGGCGACTTTGTAGTACAACTGTAGTACGCGGAGCAATCTGTGGAGCTGCAAGCTGAGAACTGGCGACTTTCTAGTACAACTGTAGTACGCGGAGTATCTGGGGAGCTGGAAGATGAGAACTGGCGACTTTCTAGTGCAACTTTAGTACTCGGAGTATCTGGGGCGCTGGAAGATGAGAACTGGCGACTTTCTAGTACAACTTTAGTACGCGGAGCAAGCTGTGGAGCTGGAAGCTGAGAACTGGCGACTTTGTAGTACAACTTTAGTACGCGGATGAGTCATCTCTCGCGGCTGAGTCATCTCTCGCGGCTGCTCTGGCGCCCCTGCAGCTGAGTCATGTCTCCCGACCACCCGGCTCTCTTGAGAGGTTGACAAATTTTAGCTACTTTGCTTACTCATAAGTGGCTGCCACAAAAGAGTCATCGCGACGTTAGTATGTGTGTACTTCACCTTCATGACAAACGATGTTCGCTTGGAATACACGAGTCGCTTGTCATGATTGTGGCGTCGTTTACTCTCAGGTCGCCCTGTTCGTGGAAACTTCAGTGTGAAATGTACGTTCTTCAGTTCTATTTGAACCTTCAGCGTTGTACTTGCACAACTAAGGTTGACGTTGCACTGCCGTTGCATCGACGCACCTACGTCTACACCCCCTCACCTCTCTACATTTACATCTTCACACGCTCACATCCGCAGATCTACCTCTCCACCTCACCACACCCACACATCTGCACATCTATATCACATCTGTACATCCACACTGTCGCTCCTTCGCATCTGTCCTGTCTTTCTTTCTACATATCTTTTCTCTCGTCTCTGTGCATTTACATCTTCGCACGCTCACATCCACAGATCTACCTCTCCACCTCCATACATCTACAGATCTATATCGCACCTGCACATCACACTGTCACTCCTTCACATCCACCCTCTCTTTCTCTCATCTTTTCGACAGTGCTGGACAAGTATATGTCTCGCTCTCGGGTCAACCGTCGCCTAGTTTTCTAGCGCATTCGTAAAGTAAGAGCTTGGTGAGTGCAAGTTCATTGACGAAACCGATGTGAACATATACATGCACCCTCATGAACCATGAATCAGCACTAGCGGTAAAGCAGCTGTGACATGCTCCAAAATGCCTCTCCAAGCGTCGACGCCTTCCTGCCAGGAGTCATTGCGGCCTCCTAGCACAGGGAGGAGTAGGCTTAAATTCAGGTGTGTTGGTCATCTTCACTAACACCTTAAATTCCTTCTAAAATGTCAGTACCTTTTTGGGATAGTTTCGTTTCTAATCTGTCTTTGCTATTTCTGCGTCACCAAGAGCCTCCTGGTGGTCTACTACTACGGAAATTCAACACCTTTGTTCTGAACATCATTCAGCGAAATCCAAGCATTGAACTTCCGCATTTCTTCCCAAGTTAACAGAACCATCGTGAACCATGCATGGGCCAGGAATAGTCGTGGTAAAGCGGCTGCGTGACATGTTCCAAATCGCCTCTCCAAGCGTCATCGCCTTCCTTCCAAGAGTCCTTCCCGCCTTCAAACACAGGGAGGAGTAGGCTTAAATTGAGGTGTGTTGGATATCTTCACGAACCTGGTTAATTCCCCTCTAAGATGGCAGCAATAACTAATAACTTTTTTGGGATGGTTCCTTTTCCATCCTTTCTTGGCTCTTTCTGCGTCACCAAGAGCCTCCTCATGGTCTACTGCTACGGAAATCTACACCTTTGTTCTGAAAATCTTTCAGCGAAATCCAAGCATTGAACTTCCGCATTTCTTCCCAAATTAACAGAACCTTCGTGAGCCGTGGGCCAGGAATAGTCGTGGTAAAGCGGCTGCGTGACATGTTCCAAATCGCCTCTCCAAGCGTCATCGCCTGCCTGCCAAGCGCCTCCAAACACAGTAGGCTTGTTGGTTATCTTAACAAAACTCTTAAATTCCCTTCAAAGATGTCAGATGTCAGTACCTTTTTGGGATGGTTCCTTTTCCATCCTGTCTTGGCTCTTTCTGCGCCACCAAAAGCCTCCTCGAGGTTTTACTACTACGGAAATCTACAGCTTTGTACTGAAAATCTTTCAGCAATATCTAAGCGTTGAGTTTCCGGATGTCTGGCTTGCTATTCACAAATAGAACAGTTGGTGAGCATGATTTATCGTGAACAATGGACTGCTCCAAATTGCCTCTCCAAGCGTCATTGCCTTCCTGCCAAGAGCCCTTGCTGCCTCCAAACACTGGAAGCAGTAGGCTTAAATTCAGGTATGCTGGTTATCTTTACAAACCTCTTAAATCTTAAATCTCATCTACGGGTACGCATCTTTTTGGGATTGTTATTTTACTACGCCGCTACGCATTTGTAAAATAAAGACTTGGTAAGTGCAGGTTCGTTGGCGACACCGATGCATGAACCATCGTGAACAATGGGGTAAAGCGGCTGTACGACATGCTCCAAATCGCCTCTCCAAGCGTCGTTGCCACCCTGCCAGGGGTCGTTCCTGCCTGGCTAAGAGAAGGGCTGAGCCCTTCTGAAAATGACATCGAAAGAGATTGCACCAAAATAGGTGCCTGATAGCATGTTGGATGATAATAAGGCAACATATGGGGCATATGTATGCTGTTGCCCCATCTTATGAAAGTCTGCCAACCGTACCCCCACACCAAATCATGATTTTTTTTTGACTTACTACAGTAGCAATGCAAACATTGTGGAATGATGAGGGGGGCAGCTACAAAGTGCACAAGGAAACAGCTATCATGGCCTTGCTTCAGAGTTTCAGGGTTCCGGGCAAAAGGTCGCGATCATGGCTCGGGCTCCAAGGTTCCAAATGCTTCCGGATGGGTCCAGGCAAAAGGTTATGATCAGGGCCTGGTTCTAAGAGAAAAAATAGAAAACACTTACATGTACAAAGGCCTCCACTGCAAGCACGTCACATACATAGGAGTACAATATATACATACGTATAATATCGTCGCGCATATATTATATGACTACTGTGTGCATATACAAATATATTGTTTCAGCACACGTTCTTTCCAGGGCCATATCGGCACCAAAGCGCATAGGTACAAGTATAGCAAGATCACCAGACTTGCCAGTGCAGTCTGCGCTGAATTTTTCTTCCGGTGGGGACAGGAATCGGAGAATCCTTCACGCACTGCGAGGGCTGGGCAAGGACATGTTGAGGCTTCAGTTCGTTAGTCTGTGACAATGGGAATGGGACACTTCCGCCCACCGGCTCTGCCGGAGGATTGCCTTGCATTTCTACCATTTGTCGGTCGGTAGAAAGGAAAACATATGAAAGCGAAGAATCACTTCGATAAATATTCGCGGAAAAATACTTTCGCGAGCCTCATCGCGAATCTTTCGCGGATGGTTTAAACAATATCTGAAAGGCTGTTTTATATGAAACATTGTGAAACTTCTTACACGGGGGCTAGATCATGTATGTATTTTTTCTCGGACCTTTTCAGCTTCCGTCTCCGGCCGTCTTGGCCCTGAAGCACTGCGGCAGCTGCGTTTGGCGCGCCGTCAGATGAGGGCATGGCTTTTGCAGTTGCCTGCTTGCCTTCCATGTGCATGCTTTCACCAATGCGTGGTCCCTGGCAGTAGGTTTTGGACCCCTTCTCCATAGCTGGTGCGAGGGGTTCCATGTCCAGGTGAGATCCGGGTCCCACTTGCCATACCAGCATGGGCTCTGATGCAAAGCTTGGAGCTTCGCGCGTGCTGCATTCTTCAAAGCCCTCATCCCACACTTCTGACAGACAATGTAATTTGCTTGCGCCTGAAATGCTTCAGTCCAGGTCCTTGCGGCGTGGCATGTTGTACAGGACGTCCATGTTTCCTGTCCTTTGCAATCCCATCTGTCCCATCTGTCTTGCCATGGCCGTTGAGGCGCCAGTCCCATGGCCTCATGCCCCCAACTTATTCCAGCTTGGACGCTACCTTTGTATAAGCATAGCCGAAGAGCACGCTGTGGTATTTTCAAGGTCTGCA